AGAGGATTTTTCCTCTAGCCTCTGCGTCCAGACCGGCTCTGGGGCCCACCCAGCCTCCTCTACAATGGGTACCGGGGTCCTTTCCCGGGGGTAAAGCCGGCCGGGGCGTGATGCTGACCACTCACCCCCATCTAGTGCCGAGGTCAAGGAAGAGAGGAGCTATACCTCCTCTCACCCCAAACGCCTACATGGCGTATAGTGGGACAAACTTTACTTTTACTTTTATAACTTTCTGCAAACCGAAAGCCACAAGCAAGAGATTACGTCGTGTTCCGAACTCAGTTGCCGTGATGAAAACTTGTCTCAAACACGCCCATTCCTAAATCGTATGTTACAATCCTATCACGAATAACCTATATCTATCTTCGAACATCATTATGCATCTGATTTACCAATTCATAATTTCCTCAGGTTTGCATGGTGGCTAACTACAATTTTCCGTCATCAAGGGCATGTCTTTAAACTTGCATTAGAGCAGTTTATTTTTAGTCTTTAACCCAGAATGCATATTTACAACAAATTATGCAATTCCAGACTGACGCCACATCATGGAGGAAGCTTGTACTGCAGGAAGCCACTGGACATCAGCTTCAAGTTGCACAGGAACTTCAGGAGTTTCTGGTGTCGGAACCGTCCTCTTCACCAGTCTCATCACGACACTCATGGAGTCCCAGCGCCAACTGGGAAACCCGGACGATTACCCAGATGACGCGACGTCCCACCTACTCGACGAGTACGACTTCATCGTGGTAGGGGCCGGTTCAGCGGGTGCTGTGGTTGCCAGTCGCCTCAGTGAGGTACCACACTGGAAGGTGCTGCTTCTGGAGGCGGGGGGAGACCCAACCCCGACGTCAGACATTCCCTCCCTGTCTTTATATTTACAGAAAACAGATATCGACTGGCAGTACCAAACCGAACCCGAGGAAGGTATGTGCCAGGGATTTAGAGATAAACGTTGCTACTGGCCAAGGGGCAAAGTTCTTGGCGGAAGCAGTGTACTGAACTACATGATTTATGTCAGAGGGATGAAGGGGGACTACGACGCGTGGTCTAAAGCTGGAAACAACGGGTGGAGCTATGAAGACGTCCTTCCGTATTTTAAGAAATCCCAAGATATGACGTCCGAGACGCTGCTCCGAAAAGATTCAAACGGGGACACATACCACGCCAGAGGAGGGCCGTTAACTTTGGAAGAATACGAGAGAACCGAATTCGGGGAAATCATTCTACAGGCAGCAAAGGAATTGGGTTATGAGAATCTTGACGACCTGAATGGTAAACATCAGCTTGGATTCGCCAATGTTTTTGGCACTTTGAGAAATGGGACAAGGTGTAGCACAGCTAAAGCCTTTTTGAGTCCAGCAAAATTCAGAGAAAACCTCCACGTTGCTAAATATGCCCACGTAACCAGAATATTGATAAATGATCAGACGAAAACAGCTCATAGTGTTGAACTAAGGGGGAAAGACGGAAAAATCTTCTCTGTAAAGTTTAGGAATGAGGTAATTTTATCAGCAGGTTCAATAAACTCTCCACAGATATTAATGTTATCCGGTATTGGACCACAGGAACATTTGAAAGAAATTGGTATACAACCTATCGTAAAGAATCTAAACGTAGGCGAAAATCTGCAGGATCACCTCATATTTACCGGGGCTATGTTCGCCACAAAAGCTAGTGAGAACTATAGACTCTCGCCCCTGCAGACTTTAGATACTTATTACAAATATCTCTCCCGGCGCAGTGGTCCTCTGTCTACACACTTCGGGGCAACAGTAACTGGGTTCATTAAAACCAGATTTGCGGCAGATGAGAGACCAGATTTACAATTCAACTTTATAGTAATTCCGGCCAATGATACAAACGCTGTAAATTTGATTTCAAGTGTCATAGGTTATTGTAACGAAACAACTAAATCTCTACAAGAAACTCTAAACCTTTATGATGTGTTTCTTATCATCCCTACACTGATTCGCCCAAAGAGTAAAGGAAGAATTCTTCTTAGGTCAGGAAATCCTCTGGAGCATCCAAAAATATTCGCTGGATATTTATCGGATCCTGAAGGAACAGATTTGGCTAGAATGTTAGAGGGCATCAAATTCGCACAACATTTAATGAATACCAAAGTCATGAAGGCCAAAGAATCAAAACAAAAGAAGTTATTTCTTGAAGCATGTGAGAATCTTGAATTTGACTCTTCAGAGTACTGGGAGTGTGCTTTAAGACAGATAGGGACAACACTCTATCACCCTGTTGGAACTTGTAAGATGGGTCCAAGTTCAGACCCAGACGCTGTCGTGGACCCAGAATTAAAGGTGTATGGAGTGAAAGGAATCAGAGTGGCCGATGCGTCCATAATGCCAAGTATAGTGAGTGGCAACACGAATGCAGCTATTATTATGATCGGTGAGAAGGCAGCGGGCATGATCAAGAAGGAGTGGCTTCATAAATAACAGACGAAGCAATCAGACCCACATAAGAATACTATTTTATATTTAATGACCCTGGTTTCATGAAAGAGGAAGAAATTATGTGGCAACTTATGTTCTCACTGCGATAATTATATGAATATGCCTGTATTCTATCTTCCTATGTGACTGATACGTACTGATCGAACGTTTAGATGAGCTTAGAGCCTCCGTCCCAAAAGACGGCCTTGTTGACAAGAATTTTATCGCCATCGACCTAAAGTCCGGGGAAAATTTAGGACAATAGTTTCATTACGACTCATGACTTTTCTTCTATTTGCTTTGCAAATAAAGGATTAGTTATTCCTTCGATCAAAATGTATCAGGATTAAAACAAACAAGCTCTGTTGACGAAGGAAAATATAAAATTAGAATAGCTATAACTTGCTGCATACCGAATGTACATCCGTGTACGAAGTTTTTGTTATATTTTAGGTTTACGCCTCGTTGTGAACATGGATAGGGTCTGGTTTGATTCATAAGACCATCTTCAACGTGCGTTTTACGTGCAATAAGCTCATAGATTGTACTTTTCATTAAAATACTGAAGAGAATCTATTTACTGTGCATATTTTGCCTTAAATTAACAAAGATGGCCCTAAGCTGTTGCCCTGTGGGGCTGGATCTCCAATTTTAAAAAAACAGCATTTGCTGATATATGCTACGGGCTTACGTAAACACGCAAGCACGCTAGTTCGTGAGTTTAATCACAGACGGGAAGCAGAATAGTGGACGGCCGACATTATTATTATCAACAAGTAGGAAGCACATTTTAAAAGTTCGAAGCAGAGCAAATAAGCTGCACATTATATTACAACGCGCTTTATAAAATATATGAAAATAATAGAGTTAGTGTTCCTAGATATGAACAGCGACGTTGTATCCTAACAGAATAAACAAAGTTTGATTAGCTCCAATGTAACAAGTCATCCAGCCAAGCTCATTTTAACAAAGGTGAAACCCACACCTTTCATCTCCCACAAGTATTCCGATCCAATTTTCTGAAATCATTATTCTGGAGCAACAGCGGCTGATGTCACTGTATGTAGTTCTAGAGAGATTTTAGAGACATTTCCCATCTAAAATCCAGGAAATTATGTATGATTTGAGGTTTTCACGGTGGTGAGTCTGAAGATAGTTGTCTTCTGGATTGTTGCACCGCGTAGTCTGGTAAGTTTACCGACGTTTGAGATGTCCTTGCTGTCTCCATCATCAGGACTATCATCGCATGATAATGGAGGCAGCAATGACCTCTTAAACGTCGGTAACCTTCTACCAGACTGCGCGGTGCAAGAACCCAGAAGACAGCCATTTTCATCCAAGAAGTTAATTGTAATTATTTTAAGGAATCACTGTTTGATGCACACTCTTTGTTCATGAAAATCCGCTATTTCGAAATCGCAGGAGGGTCGGTGTAATGCACTTCCAAAACGCCCGTAACTAAGAAACAAATGCTAATTCGATGATGCCGGCTGGCACACTGATTCACTATAAATGTAGGTCGCACCCCCTAGCGGCAGAAGCTCGTACTACATCCGGTTCGCCCTCTATTGATACAGTCTTGAAACTTTCCGATCGCACCTCGTATTGCATGCCATTTTGAAATTGTGATCTAAAGTTAAACACCCACTGAAAGATCAAAGATAGAAATTATAAAATGGAATGGATGTTTGTATGGTTATAATTCTCGGCCTTCCTTAACCACTATCAGTAAAACTTCTATCATACAGGTCAGCCCCATTAGCACGAATATTGCTTAAGATCCTTAGTACATTCCTAAATATGAATGCATGATAAGTTCAAGAAGTGAAGCCCTTAATGTAATTGAGGAAATGGAAGCAAATGACTTTGATGAGGTGAAGGTTTTTTATATGCAGCCAGAAGTAGGCATTGAAGTCGTAGGTCAATCGAATAATCGCTGGCTTCTTGCCTCGGAGACAGGTTTTTGCGCTCCAGGCAGTCTTGTTGGATTTGTAGTGGACGAATTGGCACTGGAATAGATACCTCTCCCAGTACCTCAATGTTTTCCTGTCAATATCATTCCACAGCTGCTTCATATTTACTCATAAATAATCGGAGAGACGGACAAAGTGTCCGTCAGAGGTCCATTTCCACAGAAACGTTGTCTTACAACAACAGAACTTAGGAACAGGCATAATACTAGTAATTCTGGTGGCATGGAGCACTTTATTGCAATTACAAACCTCGTGAAAACGTAATAAATTCCTTGCTGCCTTCAAGATATCGCCCTTAAATTAATTATCTTCATTATTTCTTGTACTGGATTTACTTGGCGTTTGAGATGGGTTAAAGGGGTAAACCTTGCCATTTCTACAATACAATATCAACCATCTCTGGGTCTCAACAAATGAAACAACAGATTACTATGGAAATAAATTTACATACAAAGGTGTATACATCAACATGGAAAGGGCTTCTAAAACTTCTTTCAAAGCCTCAAAGTGTGTGGTACGGGGCGCGTGATTTTAGAGAGAAGCAACGAGATGTTACCTGAGAGAATGTCTTATTTTATAAATACAAATATTTCTGAAACTCTTTTTTACTGAAGCAGATGTGTCTCGCTGGACAAATTTTAAAAAATATATGGACTTCTCCACACTTCTCAAATGCTTTACTTACTGTTTGTATATCAATGAATAAACACGTGGCCTGCAAGAACTCAGGAAATTTCAGTGGAATATTTTGTGTAACTGATTCAAAATAAACGTACTTAAAAATAATAATCTACTATTGCCTGATAATGTAAATAATTTCTTGACATTACAGTGAGGGATTAACATTATGAGGACGCGTAAATTCTCGTTAGAAGAAGACAGCTTAAGCGTTTATTAAAACAGTAATTGTTTTAGGGTTAATCTGAAGTGTAGTCTAAATATAAACATTGCATAGAATTTCGAGAATACCAGCGCAGTAAAAGAATAATAAGATAGCGACTGAAAAATAAAGATGACTTTCAAGATACCTACATTATTAATGATGTTAGCATATGGTTTCTTGTGATTCTCTTATACGATATAAGTTTATTTTAACATGGTCATTTATGCGACTAATGTACCTGTAAACAAACTTGAAGTCCAAATTAAATAATACGTCATCACACGTTCTGTAGCCGTGTATGTACACAATTTTACGTAAGCCCTGTGTATCCAACACGAACACGCCAGCTGATACTTACTTGCATATCTTGAATGCCCGACAGTCACATCACCTTGAACTCATATAATTGGCACAGGGAATCTGGTTCTTGAAAATAATTCTGCATGTCAACAACAGCAAAATAAAAGAGATAAAAACTACACCAAAACAGCAGCTAGTGACAAGAAAGATATCAAATTTGCATGTTAATATTTATACTTATGTTTCCTAGAACTTCCTACAACTGTCTGCATCAGACCTACAATTTCAGACCCACGCTCTGCTTTGTCATACAGTTGCCATAAAATGTGTAATTGAATGGTCACAAGGAATATTCCGAATTTATAAACTGAGAGTTCGTCTGTGGGAAGAAAGCAGATATGTGGTGATTCAGTACAAGAGCTGAAGACGATAATTAAATCTATGAAACATAAAGTAAAATGAGGATGTTGCATAACGATCAATGAACTTCTACTAAGATGGCTGTCTTCTGGATTGTTGCGCCGTGTAGTCTGATAGAAATAGGCCGACGTTTCATAGGTCCTTGCTGCCTGCGATCGGCCTGATCATGGTAAACGTCTACCAGAATACACGGTACAACAACCCAGAAGACAATTATTTTCATGTAGAATGGTCTCTGTGAAGATGAGAATTTCAAGACCGTACTATATGCCGACGTTCTTAGGAACATGCTGCATTCATCCTCACCGCCGTGAAAACCACAGACCTCAACGACAATAATAATTCTAATTTTTTCAAAGTCTCTGACTGTTTCTGTAAATGCTTGTGTGAATGGCAAGAGTCTGTTCGATTCCCATCCCAACTGGAAAGTCTATGTTTCTTTTTACCATACATTATTCACTCCCGAGCTCTTGACCGCAGATTAATTTTCCTTAAAGACAAATGGTGACCTTGTATCTTACGAGAGAATAAAAAGGCTGCTGGTGTGTGTGGCCTCGATTTAACACGAACAATAGCCCTGATTCCATTTCACCCTCCGGTCGTCGAAACCACGAAGAAAGAATTCAAGCTAAAAGTTTATATAAACATCTGGGCTGTGCCTAGAGAAAAATTTCCTTCCGTTCCATAAGCAGAACCTTGGTTATCCATCTCCGTAGCTCGTCGTTTTACTGAACTTTCATACATTAAGAAAAAACTGAATTCACGCTTAGAATTAAAGTGAGAAACATTCTCGCCGTAGTTTATGCCAGTATCAGAGACCTTCGTATTCGCAGTTAAGTGACGCAGCGGTTTTGATATCTTATCAGAAACGAGATAAAATTGTGTAGATAAAAAATTAATCCAGAAGCTTCACATAAAGTAACGCCGATTCACGGTTAGTCACACTAATCAGAGATTTATTCGCGTGTCAGTGTGGATTCTTTTTCATTTGTGTCGCATCACACACATGACTGATGGATCGCTGTTACAGCTGATCGCCCATGTAGCTTCAGCCACTCTGACGCTCTGCGCGAGCGTAAGCCTCAGATGGATCTCTAACAACGCCTTGATAGAGCTGTCTAACGACGTATTTTCTTTTTCTGATCGCTTCTGCTGCATTCCAGTGTGAGAGGTACCACTGAACCACAAACGTAAGACAGAAGATATTTTATTCTTCGTTCTTCAAACTGTTATCCGGGCAAACACGGTTAACACAAGCACTACGCCCCCTCACAAATAAACTCGTTCGACTTTTGCCCCGTCACGTTTGTCTGAAAAGCCGGTCAGTAGGCTAGAATATTTTCAGGAACAGATTACAGATTTAAATTTTCGTCCGAAAGCCTACGATAACAAAACGTAAAATGTATTCGATCGAAACCTACAAGAAACAACCACTATAACAGAAGACACCGCCTCCTTAGTGACTGCAATGATTGACATTTCCCGTGGCACATGTACACAGGAAAGCGCCAGATAAGAATGTGAGCATTACGTAAGAAGCCGATGATGTGCTGGATGACTGGCGAGCTGTCGTAACTCCGCAGTTACAATACGGGACGGCCCAGTGAATCACTTCGCGAAGCGAAGTCTGTGCGTGTGAGACGTTACTAAGGTACGTAACATTTAACTATTCATGCTGATTGTTATTGGGGTTCATTATTTAAAAAAAATTCTACACAAAGTTCTATATCATGTACGAAGTGAATTATAGTGTTGTAGCCTTTCCAAAAATTCTGTGATAATGACTGAGTGTCATTAGAAGTAGCAACTGTCATCGTTCCGGTATTTTTTGCACTTACGTATAATTGGAGAGGAGGTTAAGTTTATGAGATCCGAGGTTTTCAAGCGGCGATAATTTGTATTGCAATCTTCCTTGTTATGGGACCGGGTAAACTTGTAGGTGCCTAGCTGCCACCTATATTTCCAAATTGTCTTTCTTCGTCCGGATATCCGATGCCTGGTTAAGAATTCACGTGTTACTGCGATACCTGTAATATCCGTTGCCACAATAATTTAAATTTAATTGCATTTACTTGATGTTAAAATGAACTACTCAGATATTGGCATGGTTTCATAAAAGTGAAAAAGAGTCCTCGTATACACGCCTGAAAATCTTTTTTAAACACGTTCTTTGCCATTTTGCGTAGATCACTTAACCATCATGTTAATTTACTATAATTACAAATCTATTCTGCAAATATAATCCCACTATAGATATTATTGCACAGAACTATACATTATTTTGTTTGTGGCGTATTAATTATTTAACACAACCTATTTAAAAATCGTTCAACAATTGTAGATTTTTATAGTAACTGTATGATGCACTTATTTTATGAATATATCAAGTTCAGATTGAGACCATGTGAATTAAGCAAGGTTATTTTTGACCGATACAAACTAAATTTAAATTCGAGAACACTCTTAATGTAAACACTCTAGTACCAAATTTTACCGAATTCCGCTTAGGGATAACATTCATACAGACGGGATTTGGGGGCTCACGGTGTTCAAGATTTCGATGTTGTCCTCTGGGTTGCAACGTCGTATTGACGTCCAAGCAGATATCAACGTTTAGGAAAAGCACTAACTTAACTGTCTCTATCTTCAGTGCTAAAAAGTAAGACAGCATTTCCTTCGAAACGTTGGTATCTAAATTAAAGTCCATACAGTGTCATAACCCAGACCAGGGATGGGGAACCTGCGGCCTTGAGGCCACATGTGGCCTTCTAGGTCCTTAAGTGCGGCCTTTTGACTGAATCCAAATTTTACAGAACAAATCCTTTTATTTTTATTAATACATTTTTCAAGACGCCCTTAAGGTCACAAATTACGGATACCCATCTAGAGGATCAATTTAAACTGCAGACCTCCATACTGTAACCAAACATTCAAATGCTTTCCAACAAAAAGCAGACCCAATAAAGTCATTAAAAGATTAGTTAACTTTGAAATTAACAAATAGTTTTCATTTTTTGAAATTATTAAGCACATAGTAGTTAGATTTTTACAAAATAATGTACATTTTTAAGTATATCTAATTGAAGTTTCAAGAATGCGGCCTTATTTGATTACAGCTAAATTAATGCGGACTTCCAACATGAAAAGGTTTCCCACCCCTGACCAAGACCAATAAAAATCGACATCTTCACCTACTTGAGAACCTCAAATGAAAAACATTTTTGTCAGTGTTTACATTTTTGTTTCTACACACGTTTATCGAAGCTATTTTTAGGTGGCTGCCGAGACTGCAACAAATTCAATAGCAATATTATCGCTTTTTGTGAAACATGTTATATAAATAACAATTTCGATATCGTCTATTGCTATCTTACGGATAAGAAACTATCTGCCCAAATGCTTCGAGTCTAATACATTTTTTATATCAAACAGGCGGTTAATAAAAGATTCGTGTTTGATCCACAAGGCATTTCGTCAAATTATTTTGGTTACCCTCCGGCAATTATGAATTCTACGATAATATTTATCTGTGGACTCTAATGATAATTGGCTTCCTAAGTAAATACAGGCTACTTGAATCATGAGTCCTTCCGTCCGTCAAATCGATTCAACACGAAAACCACTTGCAGTATGTGGATGAAATTTTATATGAAGGTTGGGAAATTCTGCACGACCTCAAAATCATATTTGAAATATCCTACGTGCGGGATAACAAAATGGCAGATGAGGAAAATCGTGAGGTAGACATTAAGGTGCTACGATCTGGTTGCCAAAGTCGGAACTATCGCTCAATGCGGGTTTAATACATCTAAGTACAAGTTACAAGGAACGCGTGAGGATTTGTATGTGTTCTGGTACGGAACACCTTTTTGAGATTGTATTGTTTGCTTCTAAAAGGCAGAGCGGTTTGAAATTGCGCTAGCAAAGAAAAAACCTTTTCCTCAAAACATGAAGGTCACTTTTCCATTCCTGTCAGTACAAATATTCTGTTATACAACGGTTTCGAAATAAGCGACGTTCGGTCTTACTGCCGAAGCAGTTTGTATGGTCATCAATTTTTAAGCTACAGAGTTGCGTGATATATTTAGTACCTTTATTTCAAACCTCAGTACCTTGTACTATTTTTCTGCACACAGCAATTTCGTAATACATGTGGTATTCAGTGATCATCTGTATATACGTAAATACCCTTGTCATATCAACCCCTGTTATTACAAAATATGTGCTGGAATAATATAAAATTGGAAATTAGAGAATAGTAGTCGCTGCCTTACATCTACCTAAAAAAACTTTATGACATCTAAATGTCTGAGTGATTAGTTTCTTCCAGATACTGCAAACATTTTTTTCTGTTTTTGAAATAGTCAATATTAATATTACTCTATCATCCATCGTTTTTGACATTCAAAACCGTTATTGAAATGGCACAACAGGTAACCAGTGTGTCTGACTGCAATATGAAAAACTACTGTCAAAATATATCACAATATTGTCTTATGACTAGAAGCTATTTGCATGTCTCAAACGGTGAAGCTGTTTGAAATTATCATTACCAACGTAAAATCCTGATTCGCAAACACAGATCCCATTCGTAATATTTCATATTGTCTGTTACACAGGTGAAAGCATTGAGCGATACATAGCGTGGCTGGGTTCAAACTACGCAATTCCAGACTGACGCCACATCATGGAGGAAGCTTGTACTGCAGGAAGCCACTGGACATCAGCTTCAAGTTGCACAGGAACTTCAGGAGTTTCTGGTGTCGGAACCGTTCTCTTCACCAGTCTCATCACGACACTCATGGAGTCCCAGCGCCAACTGGGAAACCCGGACGATTACCCAGATGACGCGACGTCCCACCTACTCGACGAGTACGACTTCATCGTGGTAGGGGCCGGTTCAGCGGGTGCTGTGGTTGCCAGTCGCCTCAGTGAGGTACCACACTGGAAGGTGCTGCTTCTGGAGGCGGGGGGAGACCCAACCCCGACGTCAGACATTCCCTCCCTGTCTTTATATTTACAGAAAACAGATATCGACTGGCAGTACCAAACCGAACCCGAGGAAGGTATGTGCCAGGGATTTAGAGATAAACGTTGCTACTGGCCAAGGGGCAAAGTTCTTGGCGGAAGCAGTGTACTGAACTACATGATTTATGTCAGAGGGATGAAGGGGGACTACGACGCGTGGTCTAAAGCTGGAAACAACGGGTGGAGCTATGAAGACGTCCTTCCGTATTTTAAGAAATCCCAAGATATGACGTCCGAGACGCTGCTCCGAAAAGATTCAAACGGGGACACATACCACGCCAGAGGAGGGCCGTTAACTTTGGAAGAATACGAGAGAACCGAATTCGGGGAAATCATTCTACAGGCAGCAAAGGAATTGGGTTATGAGAATCTTGACGACCTGAATGGTAAACATCAGCTTGGATTCGCCAATGTTTTTGGCACTTTGAGAAATGGGACAAGGTGTAGCACAGCTAAAGCCTTTTTGAGTCCAGCAAAATTCAGAGAAAACCTCCACGTTGCTAAATATGCCCACGTAACCAGAATATTGATAAATGATCAGACGAAAACAGCTCATAGTGTTGAACTAAGGGGGAAAGACGGAAAAATCTTCTCTGTAAAGTTTAGGAATGAGGTAATTTTATCAGCAGGTTCAATAAACTCTCCACAGATATTAATGTTATCCGGTATTGGACCACAGGAACATTTGAAAGAAATTGGTATACAACCTCTCGTAAACAATCTAATGGTTGGAGAGAATTTACAAGATCATCTGATATTTCCAGGAGCTCTGTTCAACTTAAAAAAATCAGATAATCTCCAGCTGTCACCATCGCTCTTATTAGATATTTATTACAAATATCTGACCCGTCGAGATGGCCCGCTCTCGACACACCTTGGCACAACAGTAACGGGATTTATTAAAACTAAATTAGCAGACGACGAGAGACCAGATTTACAATTCCATTTCATAGGGGTACTTGCTAATGATACAAACGCCGTAAATCTGCTTTCACATGTCATCGGCTTTTATGACGAGACAACTAAGTCTCTGCAGGAAGTCGTCAGTCTGTCTGATACGGTTCTTATCATCCCTACACTCATTCGCCCAAAGAGTAAAGGAAGAATTCTTCTTAAGTCAGGAAATCCTCTGGAGCATCCAAAAATATTAGCTGGATATTTATCGGATCCTGAAGGAACAGATTTGGCTAGAATGTTAGAGGGCATCAAATTCGCACAACATTTAATGAACACCAAAGTCATGAAGGCCAAAGAAGGAAAACAAAAGAAGTTATTTCTTGAAGCATGTGAGAATCTTGAATTTGACTCTTCAGAGTACTGGGAGTGTGCTTTAAGACAGATAGGGACAACACTCTATCACCCTGTTGGAACTTGTAAGATGGGTCCAAGTTCAGACCCAGACGCTGTCGTGGACCCAGAATTAAAGGTGTATGGAGTGAAAGGAATCAGAGTGGCCGATGCGTCCATAATGCCAAGTATAGTGAGTGGCAACACGAATGCAGCTATTATTATGATCGGCGAGAAGGCAGCGGACACGATCAAGAAGGAGTGGCTTCATAAATAACAGACGAAGCAATCAGACCTGTCTTGTACGACAGTCGTCTAAGGTAGGAGTTTCATATGTTCTCTGTTTTGAATCAGGATAATGACAGCCATCCCGACGGTATGTGACAATGTGCATTATACTAGTTGAAACGTGAGTTCTATAGACTAAACCTGTGTTATAGTTGAAGGACCGTTAATTATGTAGCTCATGATGTACACCTAAATGGTAAAAATTTTACTTGAAAGCAGAAAAGAAATGAACGCCGTATTACCAGATATTTGACACTAATTTTTTATACCTTCGTTCTTATATGCACATTAAACTTCCTTATTGTGATACGCCGCAACTTTAAATACGTTTAACACACATACAGTCCTCTTCAATCGTCTATTATTAATCATCTTATAAATGACATATACATTCTCAATTGCAGCGTCGTTAAGTATGTCATAAATAAATAGTTTCCCACGGTGGTGAGTACGAAGATGCCAGTCTTCAGGGTTGTCTGGTAGAAGTAAAGGTAGCATGGTTCTCTGAAAAGTTGTCGAACGTGTAAGTGCTAGCGCTCAGAGAGCGGCTTTTCGGCTTCACGTCAAGCTCTGCAGTAATTTCTAAAACTCCAGTATTCATACACAGGTCTAAAACAGTATGGTTTAATATTTTTAAGCATTTAATACTAACGCAGCTGGTCAAGACATTTACTGCCGTCTTGCATTCAAACTCATTTCCGGAAAACCATTTCCGTATTTGCAACCCCGTCATTGGACCCTCTCCTGAGCAAACTGAATCCAGTCCACAAACTCGTATATTAATTCTTTAATATCCGTTTCGAAATTATTCTCGCGTGTATGCTTCAACCTTCTTGGTAATCTTCTCCCTTCATACATGCGTACTTTTCATCCCCCGTGCGTGCTACTCTTCCCACCCATATCATCTTCCCTGGTTTGGTCATGTTAATAATTCTTGGAGAAAAATAAATCCTATTAAGGTCCTCTTTATGTAATTATTTTTAGGATCTTAATTCACTAGGACACTAATATTATCCTCAACACCGTTTTCAGACACTCTTTATCCATGTTCGTCCTTTAGGGTAAGAAACATAATTTTATATTTAGATAACTGAAAAGGATATCGGTTGTGTGCATAGTATTTTCACATTATTTTCAGATGGGTAAAACGATAGTATCTGAAAATCTCCCTTCCCCCTTACTCTCTTTTTTGTTCCCTAGAAAACATTTCAATTACCGTTCGTCGTACTCTAAGACATTTTGATTTCAATCCACATATTATATATATATATATATATTCGAATGCTTCTAGCGGTGCGTATCTGAAACTAATATTCTCAATACTAAGAAACCATCACATGCTTACGCCTAGCATGAAACCGACCCCGGGCTATTTTTTATTAAGGTGAGTTTCTTCTTCCATGTCGTTATAAGAAAGCAATGAATTATCCTTCTGAATGCGCAGTCCTCCTTAACAAGCAAATATTTGCTCAACTGGTTAAAATATTTACTTCTCTTACGGAAATCAAAAATGCTCACAAGAGCCTGCCACCGGTCCTTATCCTACGCCAGATTAATGTAGCCCACAGCCCTCTCATTTAAATAATATCCCCATCTACGCCAAAGTTTTCCAAGTAATATCTTCCCTTCCCTCTTCCCGACCCAAGTTCTGTATACACATGTCATCTTCCCCATGCGTCAATACCTGCTAGCAACCCCACTCTATGCTGTCGTACAAAGCTCATCAGCAAACTGACCTACACACCCCCAGGTTCTGAGAGTGGACTAATCCGAGTTTCCTGCGCAACAAAAATCTCGTTGCCACCATGAAATAACAATACTGTGAAGTACTGAACTATCCCCAGACTGCGTCGCAAGGGATATCTGATCACGTAATAACTGAAATGCGACAAGCCAAAGTAGCCCATTTGCTTTAAATTGACGGTTATGATACGACAGACAGCATGGGATATCATCCTAGTCAGCCACTGTCATTAAATGTGCATAAAGACATAGCTAAGAGGTTCAGGTTATGTTTAGAGCTGCATTATTAATAACACGTTCGCTACACGCCACCAGGGACTCGATTCCTTTCGTCAGTACTACATTACACTCCAAATCTGATGTCACGTCAATCTCAACTCTTCGGTTTCATGAGCACTGTATTTCAAACAAGCCCGAACATTTTATGTTATCGTTGTATTATGCATATTTTAATGAACTGAGTAATCCCTTTTTGTAAGTAGCGATTCCCTAATGTTCTGTTAGCGGCTATATAATTGGATTATGTTGCACGATACATTTCTTGCGAGGTCTCGAGAGGTTTCACGTTCGTAGCTTTTCCTTCGAGGCTATTTTTAAGCAGGTTTTATCAGAGCCATGTTTAAATCTAACAGACTGAAGGAAATTGGTTAATAAAGTACTTAAAAATTTGTACCGTTCAACTAAAATTATTGAGGTTATGAAATCGGGGAAAGTGGGATGAAAATGACCCTACAGAGCTAAAAGTTAGGAAATTGATTGCATTCATCTGGTTTTGAATAGGGTCCAGTGGAAGGTTTTTGTGAATTCGATAATGCACTTACTGTGGTACGCGAAAGGCAGGCCCTTTTCCACTGAGTAGCTAGTAATACTTTTTTTTACTCCACGTTTGCAACTAAAATATAATTCTAAGTGCAAAGGTTATATAGCGTAAGGCGAAGCGTTGAATTAAGACGAACTGACTATTAAAGTGGCTGTGGCCCACTTAAAATTATTGCATTTACACAGAAGAAGAAGAGAGAAATCTCAGTTAAGATTTCAGAACACGTACCTTCGTAATAAAAGATACATGTATTACCGCTGAGTTAACCCTGCTTTATAACCTGAAAAATGTAACTAAGTATAAGAATCACAGCCCTTCATGAAAATCTGACAGTCGCTCAACTATTTAAGAACTGTCTCGCCTCTTATGGAAACAGAAAATGCATTACCATGTTCACTACATCCAGTCACCGTTTCCTATCCTGAGCCAGATGACTCCAATCCACACATTTACACCCTACTTACTCAATACACATTCTAACATAATTCTTCCATTTATTCCTAGGTCTTCCAATGTTTTCTTCTTTCTAGGATTTCCTACATAAATCTCTTGTCACCCATGCACACTAAATGCCTCAGCCATTTATTCTTTTTCATTTGATCATTCTGACGACATTTGGTGAACCGTACAAATTATGAAATTCATTATGAAACGTTTTGTCGACCTAAAATAACATGCCGAATATATCTAAAGAATTATTCTCTAAACACACTGCAACATTCCCACGTATTTCATACAGTCTGTTTTTGATTGTGGTTGGGGAATGGACAGAGTGATCCACTGCACTTATATCAGAACACAGTCTCGCATCTATTCCTGTCAACCGTTTTCTGGTCCTTAATGTACAACTAATACCAAAAGGCCCATCTGTCTGCACGGGTTACATTTCACTATTACCAGAGTGGCAAAGTGCTTCACTGCTCATGTTCCGCTTAAGATTGACTGACGTGGGGAGACATCTCCTATCTATAAACTAATCTACACAGAGACCATTAACTGGCCCACAAGTGTGGATTAGCATAACAAAGCGCCATTGTGTTGAACCATATAGTAGAATTAGTTTATGGTGACCTCTGAAATGCTCAAGACAGGATTGAAGAAAAACGTACATACTGGTCTTATGGATTGTAACGCCATGTAAACTTCTTGCTAGATACAAACGTTTCGGAGGAAAATATTTCATCCATCTTCAAGACTTCAAAACTCACAAAGTGTAATTAAACTTGGTGATGAAAGCAAGAGAGTCAACTTTGTTAATTGTTCCAGATTAATGGACGATGACAGCGTAACTATGAAGTATTATGCATTATTATTAAATATATATACCATCACGCATAATTTTTACTACTCATACAATGTCGTAGAAATTTAGCTTGATTGTGTGCAATTTTAAATTGTATTACACACATCAGGCCCACATGCGACCCAGTAAAACTTACATTAAGATTTATGGTTCTTACAGCGGTTATCGACATTGGTCTTTATGAGTTTAAACGCCGTGAAGACACAAAGGAAAAACATCGACTTCGATTTATTATTTCAGTGCAATCATCACCTAACTCGACTTCTTACGTGAGATTTCAGGTTCTGAGGGCAACACTATGAATATGGGTGTCTTTTGGGTTGTTACGCCGTGTAACATGATAGGATTAGACGGAACACACTGTATCATGATGATTTCCAAACTGTGCTCTGTGAAAAAGTTGTCTATTGGTGGGTTTAATCAGGTACGCCAACTTGAAATGAATTGCACATGTAAATTACAGGTAATTTCTATTCCTCATGATGTGTCCCTTGTAACAGGGAGTGTTCAGCGTGTTACATCTGGCAGACGAATAAAGACGCACGAGCGTTACAATCAGTACAAGGACAAGTTGGATGCGCTTGGCATACATATCGGGTGTGTTGACGACAATCTAGCTTGCTATGTCCGATAATTAACACTCTGAATTCCAAAGTTAGCCTGAGTAATATTACTGGGAACGACCCGTTCTTCAAGTGCCTGAGCACTGTGGGTCCCAGTAATATTAACAAGACTAATTCCTACAGCTAATAAACCAACACGCCACCATTACAAAAATCAGTTGATTAATGCTGTTCGGAAAATACCTCTGTTTATTCTGAGAAACATACGAAACCACAAATACAATCATAGTTACTGACTGTTAAAGCGGGTGGTACATTTAGTTACCACTAGGCTGTAATATGTTAACGAACGTTGACGCATTATGAAGGTAAATATGTATTCTGTGATGGAAATTTGCTACCAACATCGCGTACTCCAGATACATAATACTGACAAAAAGTGACAATTATATTAGTTAGTAACAAGAGTAAAAATATGTGTGTTGTTCATGTAAAAAATACAATTATAAAACAATTGCTGTTATTACAAAGATGTATTAACATTTACAATTAGACATGTTCGTATATCGTCCATTCCTTGTGATTCAGAACATAAACTTCAAAAACACAGACTGTCTGTCTTCTTCCTGAAGTAAGACAGAGAAACGGGTGATTATTTTGTAGGATCCATTAGATAATTCGAGTCTTCAAAAGTTACGGAAGCGGAAATAAAGGACAAAGAGAAGCCTGTTACGTAAAGAAACAGGTATCAGTGGGGAATCAGTAGTAAAAGAACACGTCAGAAGCTGTGGCGGATCAAAATCTTAAAATAAGTATATGAAATTAATCGTATTTTCTACAGTACACTTAGGAATGCAGTGTAGGACGCAAAGCTTCGTGA